GCTGTTCTTCCTCTCCTCCAGGATCCCTGTACTTGCCGGTCCCCTGGAACCCTCCTTCCTCTTGCTGCGCTGACTCTGCTCCTTGCCTTAAACTGTCTTGAGGCAAGTAAATTTTTAACCTTTACGATATGGAGTTCATCTGTTTTGGCAGTTTTGGGTTCATAAAGGTGACTTCAGTTTCTACCTCAAACTGAAAGTAACAAAGGTTTTCTTTGTGTTAATTGTTTTAGATGAATAAAGCTGTTGTTTCTGGGGACTACAGTATTACTTCAATTACTAATCCACTGGCAGAGAATAAATGGGGTAATTAATAAAATACCTATGCAGTTAGACTCTTATCATTAAAGTTTCTCAATTTTTAGATATGATTCGGGATCTTTACACACATACTAAGGAATTTTAATGTGTTTTTCATGTTTTGGGCCACATTAAAATATTCCTTTTTTCCCCTTTTTATGGTTAATATAACATAAGCAGTTCTTTTACGCTGCACCAAAAATTATGTGTAAGGTGATGTCTTTAAAGCCTAAAAGTGGGCGCTGGCTGGTGCGGCTCAGCAGGTTAGAGCGCTGACCCGTAAACTGAAAGACTGCCGGCATGATTCCAGGTCGGGGCACAGGCCTGCGTCAGGGCGCGTGCGAGAGGCAGCTGACCCGTGTTTCTCACTTCGGTGATTCTCTGCCTCCCTTTCCTCTCTCTAGAATCAGTAAGCATGTCCTCAGGTAAGAATATAAAAATAAAAAAACTAAAGAACAAAAATGAGATTTAGATCATGAGAGCTTGCCAACTCCTGTTATAGTGTTTCAGTGCCATGATAGGAAGTTGACCCCAGTGTTGCTTTTTTTATTTGACAGTTTACTTTTATTCTATTCAGAAAACAAAGCTTTGTGGCCCCGCTTTTGTCTTCCCCAGTATTCCCAGGGTTGCTGCCAAAGGCAAATACTTTCAGGTGCTGGGATTTGTAGACACCCGCACACAAGGATTACGTAGTTATATAGATTTTAGTATCTATGAGCAATAGAATTGCAGCCCACTCATTTGCTTTAAAACTACAATTTGCATTTTATGACTTTCAAATGAGAAAGAAGACTTTTAAAATAATTATTTATATAATGTCCTACTTGCATGCTGGTGAGTTTATAGACTTTTAGATCAGCTTATAAGATGAATTAACACTGCGCTCAATTCCTTTTTTTTTTGGCAAATCAAGGTTTTGTGCATAGTTTTGTTTTTTTTTAAAGCTTTCCCAAAACAAAACATTTTGAATAACTTTAAAGGTTAAAAAGATTCTCTCTGCCTTTGTACTTATTATGTTCCTAGCACTGTATACTTTCTTTCTTTTGAATGTTCTAACGTGGTAATGGTAGCTATTGGCTTTGAGAACAGTTAAGAAATCTTTAGCTTATCAATAGCTTCATCTGAAATTTGTACATCAACCTTGCTTAGAAACCCCAGACACATTTTACCTGCCCCTTTCCTCAGTGCCTTTCCCTCTCTCACCTTTTAGCCCTCTAGCCTTTCCTAACCTAGTTCTATAGTTATTTACTTATTTTTTTCTTCTACAAACATTTTAACTGAATCCCAATTCATGGACCAAGCTCTGTTCTAGAGGACAAGGATGTGATGGTACATAAAAGGCGGCGATCCCTTTTGGATTACATTTAATTGTGTGTTATAAATTCTATCATGAAGAGACGAATGGAGTACTCTGGGGGTACAGGATTTTAAAAGATCAATTTTGTGCCCTGATTGGTGTGGCTCAGTGGGTTGGGTGTCATCCCAGAAAAACAAAAGGTCACTGGTTCAACTCCTGATTAGGGCAGATGCCTGGGTTGTGGGCCAGGTCCCCAGTTGGAGGCATGTGAAAGGCAACCAATTGATGTTTCTCTCTCACATCGATGTTTTTGTCCCTCTCTTTCTCCTTCCCTTTCCCACTCTCTAAAAATAAATAAATTTAAGAAAATTAAAAAAAAAAGTTTTTAGGAAGTCAGTTCTGCTTAGGGCATTGTAGATTTAGGAGTTGGAATACAGACAATCCCCAACTTATGAGAGTTTGCCTTCATGATGCTGTGACAGTGATGTGCATTCAGTAGAAACTGTACTTCAAAATTTGAGTTTCCATCTTTTTCCTGGGCTAACAATATGCAGGGCAATACTCTCTCGTGCTGCTGAACTGTGGCAGCGAGATGACTTTGCCCAGCTGTAGCTAATGTAAGTGTTCTGAGTATGTTTTCGGTAAGCTAGGCAAAGCCATGATGTTGGGCAGTTTAGGTGTATTAAGTGATTGTTCCACTTATGATATTTTCAACATACAATGGATTTATCTGAACATAACCCTATCATACATCAAGGAACATCTTTATTTGAACTGGACTCCTAGATAGAAAAAGGGAAGCGAGCTGGGGTGAGTGTCAAGGTGGAAGGACTTGACTGTAATGATTCTTCGTCCAGAGACTCCGTGGTCATCTTATTTCCTGCTTCATTCCTTCTAAATGATGTAACCAAAAGTACTATGGCTTAAGCCTTTCATTGGCTATAATATTGTACTGCACTTTGAATAATTTGAGTTGGGTTTTCCATTCAAAAGGAATAGTGAGCCACCTAAGATAGGAGGTCATAGGGTAGGAAGCTGCCTAGTTACATTTAGCTTCCCATGTCTTTGCGCAGACCTAAATCTGCTGTGGAGGTCTTGCACATTTCATCATCTTTCTTAGTTCTTTCCTTCTCGTCCTTCTCACCTCCAGACTTAGTGTGTGTGTGTGTGTGTGTGTGTGTGTAAACCTGCTTTGTTTGAGGTATTTTTATTTTGGAGAGTGTTATTTTTTTTTCCTCAGCATTGATTTAATTGTGGCTAAGGGGGAAAACTGAAGAGGCAGCTCTCATACTATATTCCTGAAGAGGTTCAAACTCTAAAAGAGAATTACTACAGAAAGAAGACACCTACCTAAGAGTCTTTATGTCCTTGAACTTCGTCCTGGAGAACACTTATCCTGGAAAATGATGTGACTGATCAGAGGCATGGTTATAGGACGAAGGTGAGCAGAGGCATTCGGTTAAAGCATTTCCAGTTGCGACTGGAATAAAAGAAATGGTAACTATCAAAAGTTGGTCTTTTAAAAGGATCCCCCTAAAATGCTGGCCACTATTAAATAACAATGATCATTTTTAAAATTCCAGTTTTTACTTTGACAAATGGTTGCCATAACTCTAACCACCAGTGTGGAGAGAAATCATCTATCTGGTGCTCTTCCCATTTCTTGTGTCACAGAGCTTGTGACTGTACCATCCAAACGAGGGCTCTTGCTCCTGCTCAAGGGCCAGCAAGACACTAAAGCAGGTTTGCAGGGACTCTGCTAATGGCCACACTTTTCCCACCACTCATCAACTTAGCTTATTTTTCCTCTCTTCTTGGACTGCACTTCTGTGGCATGAAGAATGAGAATAGCTAGCTTTTCAAGTCCTGAATATCAAATACTCATTTTACCAGGATTCAGTATTCCGAAACGGATTTTTTTTTCCTGACCATGGGGGACCAAGAGCCCCGTTAGGAGAGAGCGCATCGCGCTCTTAGAAGGAGGGGCAAGTTTTGAAGAATCCTTCCAGGGTCATAATTCTGTTAATAAGTGGGGGAAAGGTATCATCTTTATTTGGACTTGCGTAGTTTACTGGGTTTATTAGGGTATATATTTCATCGGATGTAAAGTTTCTATGACCTGAGAAAGTGAAAAGGGCGTTCCTCAGAACGACCAGAGCCATGCGCGGGAGGTGAGACACCCCGACGCCGTGCGGCGCTGGCTGACGGCGTGGACCCTGCGCCAAGCGGGAGGCCCCTGGGTGAGCGGGCGCGCGCAGTCCAAGCCCCTGGTCAAGGGTCAGCCGTGTTTTATTTTACTGCTTCAATCAGTGACCTTTGTGCATGAGTTAACACTCGCCACTTTAAGGACATTTAAGGCCTATTTTCATTCTAAGGGGAGGCTACGCCATCACCTTTGTACTTGAGAAGTCACAAGCGTCTCTCTGGCCTGAAAAGGACGGGCCGGTCTTCAGGGAGCCCTGGCGTTGGGCCGCCCCCTTCCCGCGCTCCTGCGACTCCCCACAGGCGTGGAGCAGCGGCCTGCTGGCCTGAAGGCGGGGCGAGCCTTTCCAAGCAGAAGGCGCTCGGACTGGGCGCAGCGGCGAGCACGGCCCCGCCTCTCCGCTGCCAGGAGACGGTGCGGGGCACCTTCGGAGGCAGAGACGGGCTCCTTACTCTTCGGGCACGTTGCCCTGCAGAGAGTTTACCTTTCTTTTCCTCTGGATCTACTTGTCATACACACTAAAAATATAAAGCCTGTGTTGGCCGAGCATTCACATTAAATATTGAAGAGAATCTGTGTTGATAAGACCTGAGTACCACAAGTATTACACTTTGTAGACGCCGTTGTGAGACCTTGCGAATCGAACCTGCCTTGCGCAGCCGCAGTGCCATGCTGAGGGGGCGTCCAAAGGCCCACGACCCCGCGCGGGACGCAGAGCCACGTGGCAGGGCGTCCAACGGCCCGCAGCGTCGCGCGGACGCAGAGCCACGTGGCAGGGCGTCCAACGGCCCGCAGCCTCGCGCGGACGCAGAGCCACGTGGCAGGGCGTCCAACGGCCCGCAGCCTCGCGCGGACGCTGAGCCACGTGGCAGGGCGTCCAACGGCCCGCAGCCTCGCGCGGACGCAGAGCCACGTGGCAGGGCGTCCAACGGCCCGCAGCCTCGCGCGGACGCTGAGCCACGCTGAGCCACGCTGAGGGGGAGACCGAGGATCACGGGTTCCCGTCCGTCGTGCCTGAAACCTTCCTGCCACGTTCTTCGGTTCTCTTCTGCTCCTTTGGAGTCAGTCGCCGTGGGCTGGGCTATGGGAGTCCTGCGGGCCGTCCGGAGAGTGAGCGCCGCAGGAGCGAATTTCCTGAGTCCAGGCATGGCTCCGCGTCCCCGCTGGCCAGCCCGCACGCCACTCGGGCGCCCGTGGCCTGTCCCCCCCGTGTCCCCAATGGCGACCGTCAAGTCTGAACTTATGAAGAACCTGACTTCCGAGGTGGCCGTTCCCCACAGTAAGGTCTCCATTATAGGGACTGGGTCGGTGGGCATGGCCTGTGCCATCAGCATCCTGCTGAAGGGCCTGAGCGACGAGCTGGCCTTGGTGGACAGTGCGGAGGGCAAGCTGAAGGGCGAGACCATGGATCTGCAGCACGGCAGCCCGTTTGTGAAGATGCCGAACGTGGTCGCCAGCAAGGACTACCTGGCCACTGCCAACTCCAACCTCGTGATCATCACGGCAGGTGCGCGCCAGGAAAAGGGGGAGACGCGCCTCAATCTAGTCCAGCGAAACGTGGCCATCTTTAAGTTGATGATTCCTAACATTGTCCAGTACAGCCCTCACTGCAAGCTGATTGTTGTTACCAACCCGGTGGATATCTTAACTTACGTAGCTTGGAAGTTGAGTGAAATCCCCAAAAGCCGCATTCTCGGCAGTGGTTGTAATCTGGACACTGCTCGTTTCCGTTTCCTGATTGGGCAGAAGCTGGGGATCCACCCCGAAAGCTGCCACGGGTGGGTCCTTGGAGAGCACGGAGACTCGAGCGTTCCCGTGTGGAGTGGAGTGAACGTCGCGGGCGTCCCTCTGAAGCAGCTGAACTTGGATATCGGGACCGACAAAGACCCCGAGCAGTGGAAAGAGGTCCACAAAGATGTGATCGCCAGCGCCTACGAGATTATTAAAAGGAAAGGCTATACTAATTGGGCCATCGGCCTTTCTGTGGCTGATTTAACGGAAAGTGTTTTGAAGAACCTTAGGAGAGTGCATCCAGTGTCCACCATTGTTAAGGGTCTCTATGGAATCAATGAAGAGGTGGCCCTCAGTGTGCCCTGCGTCCTGGGAGAGAATGGCATCGCGGCCCTCATAAAGGTCACCCTGACCCGAGAGGAGGCGGCTTGCCTGAAGAAGAGCGCGGAGACCCTGTGGGAGGTGCAGAAGGGCCTCAAGTTCTGAAGGTGTTAAAACTGCCATTCTGGGGTTGGTGAAGAAGAGATAGTAGCTACGGGTTGTATATGTCAGGTGTTTTAATAAAGTCAGACTCCTGAAAGTTGGCAAGAGGAGAGGGGTAGGATGACTGCCCTGTTTGTTGAGCCTCCCCGCTGTTTCATTGAGCGTCCAGTTTTTTTAACAGTTCCTAAGTGACTGCGTCAGCGGTGTTTTTGTCCTGCTGATGTACCAGTACTTGCCTTGAATTTATATGTGGTTGCAATTTGGCTTAAGAGAATGTGGGGCGTAGGTATTTTTTGTGTTGTGGAAATAGATTCTTTTCATGAAGTGCATGCTAATTCTTTTGTTCTAGCTGCCTTATATACTATTTCATTTATATGCTATTTTTTAAAGTTGTAACTTTACAATGTAAAAATAAATGTATAGAAGTACTTTTCGGTAATGGAGCCATCAGCTGCCCTCACTCTCCTGGGACAGCCTATCGGCAGGGCCTTCACAAAGGCATCGTGGAGAGGCAGCTGCATGTCGCGCCTGTGCGTTCATGTGTGTGAGTGTGTGTGTGTACTGCGTGTGGTGTGAGCGCTCTGCACCCTGTGCCAGAGAAGCAGGATCATTAGGTTAAAATATGAAAATAATAGTGGTCAGGTTGTGGCTGTTATGAAGTGTTTAATGCAGTAAAATATAAAGCTTTTAGAAAGAGACCTGACAGTCAGAGGCGGTACAATTACTGTCATTTATTTGGCAGAGAAAGGAAACATCCCAAAATTGTGCAGTTACAAAAATAAAGCCTGATTGAAATCATTTCAGAATGGCCTCTGTGAACGCGACCTGTCAGGAAGCGCGTTCTGACGTGTCCTCGTTGGGCCGAGGCTTGGCCCCGGCCCCACAGGCTCCAAGGTCGCCCCTGCCGCTCAGCCGGCCTGGCGCTGGCAGAGGATGTGTGCTGTTGGGTTGCGCCCTGCTGTTAATCGCTGGCGTAGGAATTGGCCAGTGCAGTGAGTACTTCAGGGATTATATTTCTCAAAAAGTTACATTTTCCATTTTTATTCCTTTGACTTTACTACAGATTTTAGACTTTATGCATGTGATACAGTAAGCATTTGGGAGAAAGTGAAACTACCTAAACGATAGTACTGTAACTTAGTAAGTTGACATTTTAAAAATTCATGTTAGCTTTCCTAATGCAAGTGAATATTAAATAATATGGTATGTTCAATCATATCTTAGGATCCATGTGGATATCAAGAGACCTAACCAAAAGTGGAGGGTACCAGCATCTGCTCTGTAAGCTAAGCCAGTTCTGCTTAGTTGAGTTAGTAGACATAGGACCGTGATCTCCCCCCTCAGAATGACTCTTTACCATGCCAGTCCAAGTTCCCATAATATTTCACGAATATTATCAAGAATAATATATCAAATATCTTCATAAAATATCAAGAAATGTTCTGATTCCTCAGGAAGCAGTGTCATGTAATGGGACTAACTGATGTACTGAGCACCCCCAAAATGGTAGGGTGCTTATAAGAGCTCTTTAAGCTCAACTTCACAGAGTTCCTGTTCTTGGTCCAGCCCTTGAGTTTTTATTCAGCCATGTTTCAGCCAAATGTTCTATTGAAGGGCATCAGAGCATGCTTTATATCCAGTTTGCAGTTCTCACCGTTAATGCCAGGATAGGTTGGGTTATGCTGCATTAAAAAAACAATCTCCAAATGTGTGGGTTAAAATACAAGTTTATTTCTGTCTCATGTACAATCCACTCCAGGTTTATATGACTCTAGAGAAGCTGTGCACAAGCTGCTCGGCGCCTCAGGTGGCTTGGATCTTGGGGCCACCATGGCCACGCGGGTTTCCTTGATCGCTAAGGAAAGGGGAGAGGGGCCTGGAGAACCCAGCGCCTACAGTTACGTGCTTCACCCTGGAAGGGACACACATTTCTTTTACATTTCACTTGCCAGCACTGCTCACATGGTTACCTAACTTCAGGAAGGGTAAAGAAACATAACCCCTCTGTATCCACAAGTAGATGAGTACTGGCTCTTGGTGAACATTGGTGGTAATCTGCCATGCCATTCTAAATAAAATGGTCACCATTGCAAGAGGTGTGTATATATGTTTCTAGATAATTTTTAGTGACAGCTTGTAGTAGATGTTACAGAGGTACCATGTCTTTCCAGGTCATAGAACCAGGGTGACTGTTGAGAAAGAGCCCTGGACGTGCACCAGGCAGTTGTACTTATTATAAACCATGTCACCGTGAACGGGTTCACCTCTGTGACCTCTGGTTTCTCTATGTAAAGTGGTCCTCGTTTCTGCCACATAGAATTGTGAAGGCTAAATAATAGCATGATGCTTGGTACAGTGCCTGGCTCGTGGTTCATCCCAGGGGGCAGCCATTATTATTTCTGTTCAGGTAACATCGATAGTCTTACTCTTTTAGTTTATGAAGAAGCTGAATTTCCAGGTTCTTCGAAACTCTCATCGGTGCTGTAATTGTTGCCATGTCCAAAGGCTTTCTCCTCAGCTGGTCCTACAAAGCTCTCGTCACTCTCACCCCAGCCCCAAGGCTGGCAGCGCGCCTGTAGATGAGGCAGTTGAGCTGGTCCATGGCAAAGACACTTTGAAACTTGGAGCTTCTAATTCCAGCAACTGCCTATTTATTAGAATCAATGATGTAAGGGTTTTTTGAAATTAAATTGGGGCCATATTCTGGAGCTTTTACGTAATTTTTCAGCACACCACATGTCAGAACAAAAGTTCCCACACTGTTTCCCCTGTCAGGACATGCATGGTAAATGTGCAGCATATCCCGTGTGTCACTCCTGGCACACTGGCTCTTCGGCCCTTCAGGAAGTTACTGAAATGCGAATGAGAGTGACGTGATTAGAGACGTAATCTTGAATCGTTCTAATATCTAAAAAGTTGATTGTATCCAATCTTCGGAATGTGCAGATTAGGGGCAAATTTCCAGTTGTCACGACACTCCGTTTGAGTACTGCCACCCTAAAGGTCGGTACTTTGATGATATTAGAACCCAGAATTTTGGACACAAACACTGGGACTTGAAGGCAGCTGTTCTTGGAGCCGCAGGCTCAGTGCCGAGGGCGAGCCGCCGTCTCTGCAGGGAGGAGCCCCTGCTTCGCGGGGTGGCCCTGTGACCCGTAGCCACGGAAGAATCCTCCCTGCTACGAGGGAAGGGAATTGATCCCAGAGTTCAGAAAATGCTTCAGAGTAAAACTGAGTCGCTGGGTAGAGTCGATAGTGCCCAGCATGCCCCGTCTTCACCAGACTTCGGGGATGGCCCAGTGACAGTGGCTGTGACTGCTGTCATGGCGTGCAGTATGTTTATAACCAAGTTTGTTGGCATGTGCCCAAGCCCTAAATCCTTTCAAGCACACTTTTAAGCAGGGGGTGGTCTGTTGGCCTGTGATAAGAGTATCACTGATAAGACCAACGCCTTCTCTGAACTGTGTTATCAGAAATTGATACAGGTGAAAAAACTGAAGGTTTTCATTTACTATGCATGCAATATAAAAAATATAAGCTTTAAAGTCTTCTATGGAGTCCCATTGTTTAAAGCAACTTGAGGCCCTGTTTATAACCTAAATGTAGACTCTGGGTTTCCATTTCCACCTCTGCAAAATTAAAGAAGACGGCTAAATGGTGTTCTTTATCCCACTTGCCTCGCTCCCTTTACCTCGCTCTAAAGCCTATCTATTCCTACTGGGCTATTTTTGAGATATGATTCCTTCCAGTGGTTTAGTTACTCACTTAGGACCCTGGGAACATGTGAATAATACAATACTTGAGAAATGATAGGACAGGAAAAAATTGGGTCAAGAGGAGAAAACGGGGACAGAACCATGCTGAAGGGGGACAGCCGCCCTTACTCTCCTACGCGGGCCTCCCCTGCGTCTCCCAGGCTTCCGCCTCCCAGCAACTGGCCGTGCTCCCTGTCACTGAGAAGGTGGAATGGGAGACGATTCTGTTCACATACTGGCTCTTTGACACTCCATCTGAAAGCTCTCTCCTTAGGCGCAGTTTTACCAGATGTGCAAGCAGAGAAGTGAAGGAAAAGAATCAGGCAGCCCATTGCAAACCCTAGCCAGAGAGATGTCTGTCTGTCCACTGAGAAAGTCTTAGGCACGTCTCCTCAACAGAGGCACTTGGTATTTTGGACAAAGCAACTCTTTTTTTGTGGGCCATCCTGGACATTTAGCATCCGTGCCCCTCAAAAATGAGAGTAGTAATCCCCTGTGATTGTGGGGGGGAATCCCTACATAATCAGCCCCTCCTCAGAGACGCAGTACTGCTTTTAGTTAATAACCTCCAGGAAGGGTTCACCACAGTACGGACCAGACGCCTGCATAGAAGAGGGGGCTAAACATGCCAGGGACACGTGCGTCTTTAAGATTGGTGTCCGGGACCTGACATCGACACGGTTGGCACGGACCCCCCACCGAGTGCATGTGGTGGGTGACCTCATGTACCTTCTAGTGTCGATATTTAAACCGAGACGATGCTTTCAACAAACATACCATAATATTTATATCCATGTGAGCTTTGTTCTTGAAACAGAGCACATGTATTTTGATGATGATGTAAGGACGATAGCTAATTGTATTGAGCACTTACTATGTGCTAGGCGCTGTGTTTTGTGTGTAGCATCTCACTTAATCCTCACAACCCTGTGAGCAGGTAATTATCTCCACTCTACACACCTGGAAACTCCTGCTTAGCCTAAGCAGTTTTCCCAGGTGTCGGACTAGGATCTGAACAGAGGAGTCTGCCAGAGTCTGTGTAGCTAACTGCAGTGCCAAGGTGGCCGGAATAAATGCCTAGGAATTTACAAGTCCCAAACAAGATGCACACCCTAAATTTGGAAACCAAATAAGGATTCAGGTTCAAGTTAAAATAAATAAGCATGCCCACCAAAAAAAGAAAAAAAAATTAGCTGACTTTCAAAATAACTCCTGTAAGAAATGAGGTGCGTGTCCCTGGAGGCCTCACAAGCCCCCTCAAAGAGACCTGTAGCCTTGGGATGCACAGCCGGGACATGGCGGATGAGAACTGGCAGAGCGGCGCCACAGGCTTCTGAAGCACCCCCGTGCAGGAGCGGCCAGGTTAAAAAGAATGAACCGACAAGCATGGAGCTAGTACTGTCTAACAAAGATTATCCAGCTCCCATAAAGTGGTGTTCCCGCCCCCGCCGCCACCCCCCCGCCCCCGCCGGCGTGTGGTGTGCATCGGAGGTGGAGCCAGATGCTCCATGTTGACCCCCGACATGACGACCTTCCAGCCGCCTGCTCCAGCTCTCAGGCTCCAAATCCACCTCGCCTGGCGAAACCTCTCCCTAGATTTTTCAACACTGTCCGGCACATAAAAACATTCTAGTTTATCTGCCCTTCCTGGATTCATTCTTTTTTTAACCCCCTACTAAGTTCCCTCTCTCCACCCCTCTCTGGCTCTCACATTCTTCTGACTTGGGCCAGCCTGAGTGCGTTCGTGGGTTTAGCTAGACGGAGCTCGTGCCCAGCTGCACCTTCACGTATGAAAGCCAACAGTACACACAGGAGTATTGTGGAGGACGGACCGTGGGGAGCCCCTTGCATTCCAGATTCAGAGGAGAGTTTTTTGTTAAGGCCCAATGGGTTTATATTTAGAAGAAGAAAAGAGCTGCATCTCATTTTCTTTCAGCGGGGCTAGGACAGTTTCTTACCTTTTATTGGTCTCCCTTCGCTCTGTACCCTCGAGCAATGAGGTATCATCCAGGCAGCAGCCCCATCCTCTCTGATTGATTGGCTCTTTTCCCTTCTTTTAACATTTGATGATGGACTTTTTCCTTCTTTTAGATGAAAGAGTTTCGAAGTAAAATGCAATCAATATTTCCAGCCATTCCCAAGAACTCCGAATCTGCTGTTGAGTGGGAGGAAGCCCTGAAATCCAAATGAGATGAGCATGGTTGGTAAATTCCAAAATGATTGATTACAGAAAGGGTGGCTTTGGAGATGCCAGACAGCAAAGGGACTCACTGGCTTCTCCTCGGGAAGACATGCAGATCGCTGCCTGACCCCGCGGGATGGACGGCGTCCCGTGTGTTCACGCCATCTTTCTGGGTGCTTTGCTTTAAGATTCCTGTGGTCACGTGTGCACATGTGTGTATGTGTGCTGTTGGGGGGAGGACATAGTTTTCCCAAAGTTGGGAAGACTATTTAAAAATAACGACGTGGATCACCTCTCTATGTGGAGGAGATCCCCGGGAAATTACTTCTGTGTATGGCTGTAAATGGTGAAACCAAGGTTTGTACTTGGAAAAAAAGGTGTTATAGCCTATGATGGAAAATCTTTGTAACAAGCTCCTCACAGCAGCAATACCTCAATGTGTCTAATTAAATGAGTTTCAACAGTTTTTGCTGTCAGTCTGTGACTGCCCGAACTTGGGAGACTGGCTCCTACCAGGCAGACTCCAAAGTGACAGGCGACGGGGGGCAGGGGGGGGGGCGCCTGAACAGGGGCCGGGGCAAGGGCAGGGCTCCGCCTTCTGAGCGCGCGCCCCGATTCGCAGGGGCTGGTGAGCCGCCGACACCCCTGCCTCCCATGCTGTGAAGTCTCACCTTGAGACGGGAAGCCAGCAACCGATTGCGAAAAGGTTCAGCTGTGCTAAAATGAGAATCATGATATCATGGCTATAAAATGTATTATTTTGAGAAATGGGTTCCTAAATATTAATTGGTAGTTTGTAGTTTTGTCTGTTATCAATGTAAAAATAGCCCAATTATCACCTATCTTAACAAGAATTTTTAACCAGAAATTTACCTGAAATTGTCTCAATATTTAGCACCGCCTTGCTGATGAAACTGGAAAATTCTTCTATACATGCCCAACCCTTTCCTGTCCTCCATGAGCTCTTACAGAAAACAGAATAATGTCTAATTGCAGTGAACTATTTTTACTGGAGATTTAAAAATTTTAAAGAAAAATAGTATGTCAGTATGTCCAGAAAAATAACCTCTGGTTGAATATCAATTGTGCAATTTCTTTATGATTGCTTAGGTTCTAATTAGCAATTGGGTTTAATAAAGTACATTTGAAATTAATCTGTTTTAATGAAACCTTTTAGTTGTACAGAAACATTTTAAATGAAATGTCAAGTGTGCAACATAACATTTTCCTCTGGACCACGTTACCCTGTTAAAACTGCTGTATTATTTATTCAACGCGCATAATGAGCCTCTGGGATTCATAGGTGACCTGTTAAAAATCCAAGACTAAACAAAAAAATGTGACGTTGAGCAGGGTATGTGGCGGAGCAAAAAGTCTTCACCCATTTTTCATTTTTAACTGAATCTCAGCTAAGAAGATATTTCTAGCGGTTGCTTCAGGGCCTCCTTGGGAGCTTCCCCGGTGGAATCTGACAACGGCCTCCCACTCAGAGGGCAGGGAGTGACGGAAGGAGAGGCAGGCCACTCTAGACGGGTAGGTGGCAGGTTCCACGAGCAAAGGAACTTCATCCCGAGGCTTGCCCTGGGCGGCCACGAGACTTGAGTACTTTCCCTTTTCCACACCTGCCCACCAGATCTGAAGAGTGTACGTGGAATCTCTAACTGGGGTCACTCACGCACACAGGGTTCCTATCGACTGAGTGCCACCTTTCCGTCTCAAGGCTGTGTCCTTGCAGCCAATTCTGGGAGCCAGAAGGACAAGAATTCCAGGGATGGGGGGGCGCCCAGCTTCTCTGGGGTCCAGCTCTCAGGTCAGCCAACAGTTGCATCTCCTTGAGGACCTCCCTCAACACAAGGCTTGGAATGGAATGAAGGAAAGAAAGGCTGGAACCAAGTGGACCAGGTTTGTGTCCGTATTGTTAGTCTGAGTCTGGGTAACCCTAATAGATACGGTGGGGACTGCCTACAACTACAGCTAGAATCTAGATTATTATTTTTCTTAGATGGAGAATAGCTGTTGGTTTTTTAAAAGCCCTCCACTGGGTAGGAGAAAATGAGAATTTCTAGCTTGTCTGAGATAATAAAAGGGAAAATCATTATTAGTCTTGATTCTATTTAATAGATTCCTGCCTTGTAAGCTCCTTAAGGACAGAGGCTCCTCTCAGGGCCTTCAAAACTTGTGGCCGGAGGGCGCCCGGACTGTGGTGGTCCGCTGTCTCCGGGGCCCGGCGCGCGGAGGCCTGCACGCACACCGAATGGCTTGCCTAACGCTTACGAACCCTTCCCACACACATCTAATGTCCCTAAGGGATGGCCGGGGTCACCTAAGAATGATCGTGAATCACCTGCTGAGGGAAGTTTGATGGGGGCAGAGTTTCTAGAATAGGTACCAAGCATAGGCTCTGGTCGCATTTTAAAAGCAAAAATGAAGTAACAAAGATGAAAATTAAGAGGAAAACAATCAGTGTGACTAAAGTGTCATTTTTCTGCACTCAGAACTCAGATATGAGAAGATTTAGTCATTTGTCTATTCCTTTTATACCAGAGGCATATTGTTAAATTGGTTAATGGAAAGGAAAAATGTTTAACAGATAATGTTATTCTTTATGTGAAGTACCATCTGTGTATTGAGCTCTGAATGTTCCTGGCTATGGAAGAGAGGAAATGTTATGGAATTTCAAGTTTGCCTTCTTTGCTGTCTTTATCTCGGGTAGAGTATGACAAACATAATCACATTTATCTCCTGGAGCATAAAGAGTTTTAATCACCCTATTAACCAGGATGACATTTTTCACAGACTTAAAAAGGAATAGAACAGACATTATCTCCCCATAAGCAATCCATTTCATGGAGGCTGAACACTAGAAATTTTTTAAAGGCTGGATAACACGAGCCATTTCCATTCCATGTGTAAGCCAACATTAAGGCGGCTCTCAGTAAGAATGTTGCTTACACCAGTTGAGCGTTAAGCTTTATATTTAGAATCCCAGCCCCCAAAAGGGCTGTTAGAGAAAGCAAGACACGGAAAATGCGGTGGGCAGAGAAGGGGTGACTTTCGAGGCCTCGGGATTTACTCAAGAAGAAAAACATGTATTCTCATAAGTTATGGCTGTCCTGTAAAAATGGATCTGTGGGCTGCTATTATTTTCAGGGTCAAGAAAGTGCGGTTGCTGAACAAGCTGGGAATGAAAAATAGGGCATGGGAACCGCCTCCAGAGATGCCTAGGAGCCTGTCTCTACAAGCGCCGTGCACTCGGATGACAGGGAGGCCTGCTGCTGCCCAGGCCCAGCAAGCTGAGGTGTGGCTGCGGGTCACCCTCGCTCTATCTCGCTGACACCGGCTGACCGGGAGAAAACCTTTCTTTACCTGTTCGGTCAAAAGGTGGCACCTGCCTGGCTGCTGTGGCTCAGTGGATTGAGCATCAGCCTGCAAACTGAAAGGCCTCGGGTTTGATTCCTGGTCAGGGCACATGCCCCAGTAGGGGGCGCGCGAGAGGCAGCTGATGTTTCTCTTGCACAGCAATTGTTTCCCTTTCTTCCCCTCTCTAAAATAAACAAAATCTTACCAAAAAAAAAAAAAAAAAAAAAGTCTGCACCTAATCTTGCCTGTTGTACATTCTGCTTAGTTTCATGGGTAGTAAGGGACTCAGTGTGCAAATTAATCATTGCAACCCTAAGAGGGCAAATACAAGAAATTAAGGGGAGGGGGGAAGCCCATGGGGACAAAAGTAATTAAAATCTACTATTTAGCTATTTCACTTGGGGCAAAATTTAATCTCCTAGGTTTGGTTCATGGAGAATGTTGTCTATTTCACTTCATTTTCATGTATTTTCTCTAACAGTAAAACAAATACAGTAGTTAAGGAGAAATGAAAATCATCTAGGTAAAATTTAAAAAAAAAAATTTCCAAATACATTTCTCATGAAAGGTAGAATGCACATTGTTCTAGTATTTTTATCATGTTCAAGTGAGATTTTTTTTCCTTTCTGCCAAGAGTCACTGAATCTGTCGAGTATTTGGATCTCTGTTGCTGTTACAGGATTCATTACCAAAGGCTGTGCTTTTGTGAGTCCAGGAGAGAAGAGTATGCCTCTCTTACAAGCAGTGACATCTGTAACACCGAGCGGGGCTGTTGGCAAGTTTTGTCTGATGATAGGTAACTCAGTTTTGGAGAAAATTAGAAATGCAGTTACCAAAAAGCACATATGTATAGTTTCAGCTTTTCTGCCCAAGTACTAGCAGAGCAATTTGGGTCAGACCCTTTGCTTCATCATTTGGTGAGGCATGATCACTTACTAAAAAAGAAAATAATAGTAAAAATTAGAACGGTGTATACCTGTTCTTAATGACAGTGGGGTAAAGCCATCCTGTAGTGGATGCTCCTAAACAGTCCGGCAAACAGGAAGCTTGGTGCATTCATGGAGCACCTGCTACCTGCTCATCTGAGAACGCTCCCAAAACTCATCTTCACGCTGCCCCTCACGCCTGCGCTTAGCGGGGACTTCAAGTCTGCAGCCTGACACAGACACCCCACGGGACACATCCAGGGATGCTGGGAACAAGAGGCTCGGGCTGCAGCCCTGGGTCTCCTGCACGCGTGGCCTGCTGTCTGAAAGGAACACGTTGACAGAACTGAGTGTCAATGAAAGCTTCACCTGGACTGTTTTCGCTGAGTGGTGCCTAACTCGGCATAGCCCTTTGCTCTGCCACCCTGGGTGATGGGCACGTGCTAATCTTTATTTATTGCTACTGGTTGTCTTCTCCACCTGTCCCTGTTGTAGGGTCTGAATCCCTCTGTTCCCCACCCCAAGCAAAGCCCGAATGGTGAACAGCCTCATGTGGAAACCTCACGGGGGGCCCACCAGCGTGGCCATCGCCGCCCCAGCCCCTCTGCCCGGACCCTTCCATGGCCCTTCTCTCCGCATTGGCTCTGCTTCTTGGGCGTCTTCCAGCCAGGACAGAGTTTACAAAGGCAAGAAAGCTCCAGTGCAGTGAATCTCGGGCAAAGCTAAAATAAGACCTCTTTTCAAAGATAAGAGTGATCAAGGAAACCCTTTGCTCTGAGCTTGCTTGAGGGCCAGCCCTGATCCTCTTTTCATAGATTTTATTACAATAATTGTCATAAAATATCTGTAGAAAGAGCACACTACCGAGTCTGCTGACTGACTCCCCCTTTCAGAGGGAGACTTGGGCAGTATAGTAAGTGGCGAGGGCGGCTCCACCTGGCAGTCGAGGACACATGGAGGTCATTGCACCTCCTCCAGGCTTATCCAGAGCTGGAGGTGGATGCTACTCCAACCTGCAAGATGGGGCTGTGGCTGAACAAATCTCCCATCCAAAGGTGTTCCCATGGGAGCCATCAAAAAGTGGCATCTCTCATATATCCACTAATAATGAATTGAGGAGGAATCCATATTCTTCACGGGAGTACCTCTGCTTTAACTCCTCAATATTTCAAATGTTAGTGAAGGAGCGGGGAGTGAGGACTGGGTTAAAAACAGGATCAG